CCCCCTTTTCTGATGTAGGGTCTAGGCCCGAAACGTCAGCCTCTCTGCTCCTATGATGCTGCTTGGCCTGCTGTGTTCATCCAGCCCTGCACCTTGTTGTCTCGGATTCTCCAGCATCTGCAGTTCCTACTATCTCCTTTATCCTAACTGTCTCTCTTCTGCTAGTCAGCGAATCCTCTATCCATGCCAGTACCTTGCCCTGAACACCATGGCTGTTATCTTATTCAGTAGCCTCCTCTGCGGAACATGGTCAAAGGCCTTCTAGAAATCCAAATAGATCACATCTGCAGGCTCTCCTTAGTCTCGCTTGCTTGTTACCTTTTAACGAATTCTAACAGATTTGTCAGGCATGACCTCTCCTTGATGAAGCTGTGCTGACTCAGCCTGATTTTACCAGGTACTTCCAAGTATTCTGCAATTTCATCCTTGACAATGAACTCCACAAACTTAACAATGACCAAAATCAGGCTAACCGGACTATATTTTCCTGAAAAGCTTTTCAGTCCTCTGGCTTTCAACTAATCTTCACCACCTTGTATACTTTTTTGTTTTCTTTTATGCTCTCCCTGACTTTGTCAGCCATTGTTGCCTTATCTACCCCTTAGTATGTTTCTTCTTCTTTGGGATGAATTTCTGCTGTGCCTCCTGAATTACCCTGCAGACTGCTGCCATTGTTTCTCCACTGTCTTCCTTGCTAGGGTCTCCTTCCCATTGACTCTGGCCAGCTCCTCCCTCATGTTTTTGTAGTTAGCTTTTACTCAATTGTAACACTGTTACATCTGATTCCAGCTTCTCCCCCTCAGACAGAATTCATTCTATCGTATTATGGTCACTGTCTCCTGGGGGCTCCTTCACCCTAAGCTCCCTAATCAAGTCTGCCTCACTAGACATCACCAAATTCAGAATTGCATTTTCCCTAGTAGGCTGTACTACAAGCTGCTCCAAACAACCATCTTGCAGACATTCCACGAATTCCTTTTCTTGAGACCTGTTACCGACCTGATTTTCCTAGTCTGTCTGCTCATTGAAGTCCACCATAATTGTTGTAATAGTGCCTTTCTCAATGCCTTTTCTACCTCCTGATTCATTTTTCGTCCACATATCCTGACCACTGTTCGGAGATCTGTACACAACTCCCATTAGGGTCTTTTGTCCTTGGTGGATCCTCCACTCTACCCACACAAATTCTACAGCTTCCAACTTGATATCACGTCTTGCTGTTGATTTAAGTTCATTTCTTATTAACGAGACAACCTTGCCCCTGCATGTCCTCTGTATATCCTTAGCTCCCAGCTTTGATCCGCTTGCAATCATGTCTCTTTGATGCCCACAACATCATGCCTGCCAATTTCAGTCTGTGCTTCAAAAACCTACTTAAAATGTATGTTTTTTTCCTTTGTTCTGTAAGTATTTCCAGTATTCGAATACAAGTTTTATTAAGTACTACTTTTGGTTTTTTAATAGATTCCAGAATATTGCAGAGTCCTAGAGGAGAGTGAGATATCAGAGCATTGTTTTGATCTGATTTTTGCCTTTGATGAGATTGTCGCCCTGGGTTATCGTGAGAATGTGAACCTAGCGCAGATCCGAACCTTCACAGAAATGGACTCCCATGAAGAAAAAGTTTTCAGAGCTGTTCGAGAGGTAATTTGAGATATAAACGAATAGAGTGCGGGAGTGTACAGTCAAACCATGGAGCTCAGACATACAGAAAGGTCTAAGGTATCCAAAGGTTCCAGTCAATGCTCTTGTAGTAATGTTTACAAACTGGATACAGCATAGAACATGCCATTCAGTCCAACAGGCTTACCCTCTGTTTATGCTCCACTCGAGTCTTCCACTGTACTTCGTCTCACCCTATCAGTATATTCTTTCCTCCCTCGGTTATTTATCCATTTTCTTCTTAAGTGCATCAGTTACTCCATTTATTCTCTGCTAGAGAATTCCACATTCTCAACACACAATAGAATTTTTGTCTAGAAAATGGAAAGAAAACAGCTCCCCTTTTTCCCTACAAAATGAAAGGAAAATCCAGGATAAATCTGGAAAAATTTGATCAAAGCCTGAGGTTTACTTGGTTGTAGTTTACTTACTGCCTTGGTTCTTGGTTCTGAGTTCTAGTTCCGATGCAGATATTTGAGCATATAATCTGCATTGGCACTCCACCGCCACATTATGGAGTGCTGTTGTGTTGTTGATTTAATCTTTTAAATGGTTAGTCAGAGACTGGGCACAGTGTAATGTGACGCTAATTTGAAGAAGAACAAGAGAAATCTCATCTCCTGGCCAGCATTTATCTGTCAATGTTACTGAAACAGAATATTTGGTCTGTAATGCTATTTATAGGGTTTTGCTGTTTGCAAATAGCTTTTGTGCCTGTCTGTGCCACAGCAGTGACTAGACTAAGAAAGTTCAAAATTGGATTGGATTGCTTTGGGCTGTCTGTAAGTTTGCGAAAAGGACTATATAAAGAATATTGTCATTTTTCAGTGTAAAGTACATTTTCATTGCTCAGCCAAATGCTTTGAACTACGTGAAGCAAACTTTGCATATTTAAATCCAAATATGGATATTGACTCTTGAAGGTATCATTGTGCTGGATAACCTTGAACCTTGGAGAATCAGATATAATGAAGTTATTACTGATTAGTTATTTATTGCACTTGAAATCCATCTGACATGAATTATTTGTGGCAGTCTAAATTCATGGCTGTTTATTTGATATCTGGGTGTGTGTGATGTTAGGTGGGCCACCCTTATTACCGAGAGTGGTCTGGAGAAGGTGGTCAAGAGCATAGAATTACAATGCTTTGATATTTGCCCAAGCCAAGAATTTGAGATACTTGGAATGTCAGGTCCTATGATGTTAATGCTAATTAAACACAGCACGATTGATATGAGAACCAGCGTCACCGTGGAATTAGGGGCGGGTTTGTAGTCTGAAGTCCGATATTACCATACCATGCCTCACCTGGGATTTTCTTGATTAGGACCGGGTGACTAAACAGAAAATGCTTCGTTTACTGCATACTATCCACAAATCTTCGAGAAAATGGAAAGCAATTTTAATGATGTTACTATACTGTTGCAGACTTTTGATGTGTGGAACTGTTTCCTTTTGGCTGTGATTGTTGTTTCTATGTTCCAATTCAGACTCAAGAACGTGAAGCAAAAGCAGAAATGCGTCGGAAGGCTAAAGAATTGCAACAGGCTCGTAGAGATGCCGAAAGGCAAGGCAAGAAAGCTCCTGGCTTTGGTGGGTTTGGCAGTGGAGGAATCTCTGGTGGCTCAGCGGCATCAATGATAACTGATGCCATCATCGAACCGGAGAAACCCAAGATGACGCCAGCAGTAATGAGGTAAGTTCCAATTTCCAGAGTTCGAGTTTTAAAGCAGAAAAACTCATTTGTCTTCTGGTCGAGCTGCTCACTGTAATGGTAAGAGAGGCTGTCATGACAGTATGTTGCATGGATATGACTGACCTTTGCATTTTTATAAATGAGTATCTGTGGAGGACACTTCACCATCAGGGTAAGAATGTTAAATTTGGTTTATTTCACACATTATGCTGTTTTGGTTTGTTTATGAAGTGCTGTTCTTATTTTAATTGACAAGGGAGTAATGATTACCAATTCCACTTTTTAAAATTGGTTGAAAAAGAAAGGAAACTGCTTAGGGTTTGAGAATAGAAAATAGGAAAGTATTTGGTGAACCCAAACTTGGACTTCGAAATTCTGTAGCAGAAACAAGAATCAAGAAAGACTGGGACTATCATTGCTTTGATGTGGGTTGAAGGAATGACTTATCAAATAGACACTGTGAAACTTTACTCCGACAGGCAGCATATAGGAAGGAGAAGGCCTCTGCAGGTCAGTCCATGGAGTCCCAGGGAGTGTTGAAACACTTCAAAACCACACTGCACATTACCTTCCTTCCTTGATGTCAATTGTACTTAAAAATTCCAACAATTTCTTCTTGAACTTGCTCAATAACTGAGCTTGTGATTTTGTCATGATAGTGCTGAAGAATGTGGAGCATTATTTACATTTGTCTTTTATCCTTCATGAATCACTTGCACATGGTCACCTGCTATCCCTTCTACTTCCTCTAGCCTTCCAGACAATTTAAAAGTATTTGTATTGAATGAAATTGATTTTTGTATGTTTTTTGATTTATTATGTTTGTTAGACTACAAACTCTGAACTATCGTGTTACTCAGCAATGCTGATGTCAGCTGCTTTATTGCCTTTCATTCTTCCTATGCATCAAGTTTACCCTGTAAAATGGGTTCAAATGTATAAAGAAGCTAATATGGCAAAGTTCTTACCTTTTGCACTAACGGTTTAAGAAGAGAGTTAGCAAAAGTCAGGATGTCTAACTTTTCTAAGAACTTTTTTCTGAAGGGTTATATCATCTAAGAATATTCTGCTCTACATATTTAATATGCTAATAAAGCTGTATTCTTTTTAAAATTGGACCATTGACAGTATGGGTTTCGGATAGACCAGCATAGTTTAAAATTCTGATCCACATCTATGGGCATTTTGGCTCATTGCTCATGATCTTTTTTTTTGTAAAGAAATCTTTGAAAATGGTTGGACATTGCACGTGTCCGGAATTTCTTGATTTAAGGAGAAAGTGGTGTTTATTGCCTCTAGCTTTCCTTATTTGCTCATAGTGACTCAGTTCAATTATTGTTGCTGGGTAGCATGAAGAATTGAAGAGTCAGTTAGTTCCTTTTTGGCTGTTTGAGATTCTGCATTGTTAGCTGTAATATGTTATAGACCAAACCTGTGCCATTTTAAACCCGTTATCACTTAATTATGTTCTCTTATGGATTAAGGGCTGATGCAGCAGGTCTTGCGTGTGAAGCTGGTTTATATATAATCAGGTATGGTTTGCTTCAATTGCTTCAATAATGCATGGGGAGGGGCCCTTCCTGCAGCACCCAGTATGTGGTAGCCTGTTGAGTTGAAGGCCTTTTTTTCCCAAAATTCTGACTGCTTCTGCTTATCCTGGCTTGATTGTGGTATTGCCGTCTGCGTAGTACACCAAAATCTTGACAGATTTTCATTGGTGCAGATGTATAGTTGGTGTACTGAACCAAGTGTTTTTTTTGGGGAAGTACTACGTTGTCATGAATGTTAAAAGTTAATGTGTTCTGTTGTATGTGCAAGAACTGGTCCATTTACATTGGCGAGTGTGAAAGTTTTGGCATGTTTTGTGATGACTTGGTTAATGAATTAATTCTTTAAGTTTGGTTATCTCTTTATCTAAAATGTCGGCTTCTCTCTCTGCTCCTTCAGACCTTCTGGTCCAAGCAAGGCCTTAAAACTCGGGGCAAAGGGAAAAGATGTGGATAATTTTGTAGACAAGCTGAAGTTGGAAGGAGAACAGATTAGTTCCTCAACAAAACGTACGTCAGAAGCAGCTAAAGTGCTATCACCTCCTGTTAACATAGAAAGGTAAGTGAAAACTTTGTGCTGATATTGTAATTATGTAATTTGTAGACTGTTGTTTCCAGCTAATCTCCAACCTTGCATCTTAATGGACTTGAACTCATCCAAAGCTTGTGTCTGTACCTTCAATAGCCATAAGACCCATTCAATCATCACCCTGTGTTCGTTGGTCTGTAATGGCACGTTCTAAAATTTTTGTCTACATTTTCAAATTGCTCTTTGGCCTTACCCCTCCCTATTGTAACCTCCTTCAGTCTTACAAACCTGGATGTCTAAGCTGCTCCAATTCTGGTTTCTTCACTCTACCCTTTGAAAGCCGTGTCTTGAGCTGATTAGGCTTTCAAGCTCGGGAATGCTCTTCCTCAACTTCTCTGCTTCTCTATCTTTCTTTTCCTTTTTAATATGCACTTAAAGCCTGATTTTTTTTGAACTTAATATATTGTCTCTTCTCCTAATACTTGCTTGTGTGGCTCACTGTCAAGGATTACTTGCCTATAATATATCTTGGGCTGTTTTACTACATTAAAGAGCCCATGGGAGTGGTATAGTAGTCCCTTACATCTGGAGTAAGGATTCACGCTCTATCTAGAACGTGATGTCACATGAAATAATCTCAGTAAGTGTCAATCTAGCATCTAGTGGATGTACATCTCCAAAGCAAATCTACTACAAGTTAACAGTCCCCTCCAGAGAGATTGCAGGATGGCTGATGCCCAAACTGGTAAATTTAAGGAGGTACTCCTTCAATTTGGAATTAGATGCACTTGATTTTACTTTTGGTAGTCGTAGGATGGGCTATCCTGTAATTGAAGCCATTAATCAGCTACTGTTGGTTATGACCATTTCTGTTTTTTAATTTGTTTGTGAGTGTGACTGGCTGGGCCAGCATTTATTACTCAAGTTGTCCTTGAGAAGGTGGTGGCAAACTACCTCCTTGAACAGCCGCACTCCTGCAATGCCCCCAGGAAGGAAGTTTCGGGGTTTTGACCCAGTGACACTGAGGAGCAGTGATATATTTCCAAATCAGGATAGTGAGCGACTTGAGGGGAAACGTGCAGGCCGTGTGCATTCCCGTGTATCTGCTCCCCTTGTCCTTCTGGATAGTAGTAGTTGTGGGTTTGAATGCTGCTGTCTAAGGAGTGTGGGAGAATTTCTGCAATGCATTTTGCAGACAATGCACATTGCTGCTAAGTGGTGGTGATGGAGGGACTGAATGTTTGTTATTTTGGTTCTAATCAAGCAAGCTACTTTGTCCTGGATGGTATAAAGCTTCTTGTAGTGTTGGAGCTGCACTCATCCAGACAAGTGGAGAGTATTCTGTCACACTCCAACTTGTGTCTTGTAGGTGGTGGGCAGGCTTTGTGAAAGTGAGTTACTTTCTGCAGAATTCCTAACCTTTGATCTGATAGTAGCTCCCAAGGATATTGATCGTGCAGGATTTGGCAATGATAATGCCATTGAATGTCAAGTGGTGATGGTTAGATCCTCTCTTGTTGGAAATGGTCATTGTCTGGCATGTGTGGCGCAAATGTTATTTGCCAATTTTCAACCTAAGCTGGATGTTGTCCAAATCTTGCTGCATTTGGCTATGGACTGCTTCAATATCCAAGTTGAAGGGTGTTGAATATTGCAATTGTTGGTGAACGTCCCCACTTCTGACCTTACAGAGGAAAACAACTGACATCCAACAACTGGAACCATCTTCCTTTGTGCTAGTTTGATCCAGTTTTTCGAGGAATCCTTGATGCCGCACTTGGGCAGTTATGGCCTTGTGTCAAGGGCAGTCATTCTCACCTCACCTCCCCTCTGGAATTCAGTTTTCATTGTAAGTGATTGCAGGCATTGAGTGACAGGATCGCATGTTGAGCATTGTGCTGGAATGCTGCAATGTAACTGAGGTCAGGATTGAAAAGATTGCATTCATTTGTGTACACGTTGTTTAGAATCTTGATTGTGGAATCCCTGAAGCAATTTTCTGTAGCCAGCAGACATCTGATCTTCCCAACAGTGGAGGACAGATAAAGCAGTGAGAAAGACATGCAGTATTATTTTTAGCACCTTGAAAAAGACAGCCACTGACAGATGGCAGTAGCAACATGTCAGCCAGCTCAGTTTGAGTGAATTTGAGATTGTGCAGTCTGGCTATGAATGACTAACATACCGGGCAGTTAATTTACATGTACCTCTGCTTCCACACTGGTATGTGCAGTGGTTCTTCACATTATCTATTGTCAATCTCCTCTTCTGCCCAGATTGTTTCTATCCAAATAGTTATCTGATACCCGAAACTAAGTCTGTCATATTGACTCAAAAGGAGATTGCACCATTATTTAAGTTGTGTTTGCTGCTGATATAAATCAATCCGATAGAAAAGCCTGTTTGGTCCCACCCATCTTTCCACATGAGCCAAAAAGTGAAAGTTAAGAAGTTCAGCATTGCAACCTTTATTGGCTGAGGAACCTGGCTGATTTTTTTTTCTTAAATATAGCTTTGTCACCCTGCTTTCAAGACCTGATAATTGTGCCAATATCAGCCAATATCACCTTTTCTCCTTAACTAGCCAACAGATCTGGATGATACAGGCTTTTTCATTGTATTCACTTGGGAGTAATTTCACTGTTGTTCCAATTTGTCCAGCTCCATGAGTTGTATGACATCCCTTGAGAATACATACTTAAATGTAAGGACTTTGTGGTAAATTGGAAGATATGGAACAGTGTGGCTACTTTCTGGATTGAAAAGGGTACAGTGTGGTTTTATCAAGAAATGGAATCGCTTTTGTAATGTGTTGTAAACTATCTACTGTTTGAAAAGACTAATGGTGCATGTGTGCTAATGGTTGCCTGGTGGTCTTTTCTGGATTTAGTTGTCTGGTTTTCAGTCCTAGTGGTCAGGAGGAGAAAACCGCCAAGGCTTGCAGTAAAGCAAGTTTTGCTCTCCTGAAATTTTCTCAGTAGACATTCATGCAACCTGTCTGAGGGTTAACTGTTTCATGCAGAGGGTGGTGCATGTATGGAAGGCGCTGCCAGAGGAAGTGGTGAAGGAGGGTGCAATTACAGCTTTTAAAAGGCATTTGGATGGGTATATGAATAAGAAGGGTTTAGAGGGATATAGGCCAAATGCTGGCAAATGGGATCCGGTAGATTGCGATGTACAGTCGGCGCAGATGAATTGGACATAAGGGTCTGTTTCTGTGCTCTTTGACTGTATGACCATTTGTTTCTGACTATCTTGTAAACCTGAAAAATTAAACTGTGACTAATTTCCTGAACTGATTGTAACCTTAATTTCATATTCCTGCCTAACCTGGTAACTTTTCACCCCCTTTCTTAACAAGAATCTGTCTACATCTGCCTGAAAGTATTCAAAGATTCTGCTTCTACCAACTTTTCAGGAAGATAGTTCGAAAGACTCAAGACACTCAGATAAACTGTTGCCTCCTCTTTGCTTTAGAGAGGCCTCCCTTATTTTTAAACAGTGGCTTCTAGTTCTTGATTTGCCTATCGGAGAAAGCATACTCTCCACATCTGTCCTCTAAAGACCTGACAGGATTTTCTATGTTTCAAACAAGTCACCTGTAATTGCAGCAGTTATAATGCACCTGTATTTTTTTTTCTGAAGAAGGGTCTAGGCCCGAAACATCAGCCTTCCTGCTCCTCTGATGCTGCTTGGCCTGCTGTGTTCATCCAGCTCCACACCTTGTTATCTCACCTGTAATTGCAGCAGTTATAAGCCTAGCTTGTCCAGTTTTTCCTTTTAAGATAATCTGGCCATTCCAGGAATTAGTCTGGTAAACCTTTTCTGAACCGCTTCCAATGCATTTATATGCTTTCTAATATAAGGTATTGTGCACAGTAGTCTAGATGTGGTTACAGTAATGTCCTGTATAACTGAAGGCATAACCTCCCTGCTTTTGTATTCAGTTCGATTCGTAATAAATGGTAACATTCCATTAGCCTTCCTAATTATGTGCTGCATTCGCATGCTAACCATTTGCTTCTTATGTACTTGAACACCCAGATCCCTCTGCAGCTGAGCTCTTCAATGTCTCACCATTCAGTATTTTTTATTATTCCTGCCGAAATGCACAATTTCACATTTTCCCATGATATACTTAATTTGCTAGATCATTATCCACTCACTTATCTGCATCATTTCATAGGCTCCTTTCACCCCTCTTCATAATTTGCTTTCCTACCTGTCTTTGTCATCAGCAAATTTGTCAACAATACTTTCCATACCTTTATCCAAGTTATTTATATCAATTGTAAACATTTTTAGCACTGATCCCTACCATTTGCTATATCTTGCCAACCTGCAAAAGATCCATTCATACTTCCTGTCTGCTTTCTGTTAGTCAGCCAATCTTATATCGTTGTCAATATATTACTCCTTACACTGAGGTTTTATTTTCCTCTAACCTTTTGTAGCCAGTTATTAAGTGCCTTCTGGAAATCTAAGTACAATATATCTACCTGTTCCTCGTTAGCGAAAGCAATTGTTACTTCCTCAGAACTCCAACAGATTGTTTAGATTTCCTTTTCACAAAACCATGTTGCTTCTGCCCAATTGTCTTAACGTATCTAAATGCCCTGTTGTAACTTCTTTAATAATAGCTTCTGACATTTCCCTATGATGGATGTTAAGCTAACTGTCTTGTTGATTCCTGCTTTGTTTCCTTCCCTTTTTGAATAAAGGAATTGCAGTTGCAGTCTTCCAATCCATTGGGACTTTTCCCTAATCAACAGTGTTCTGGAAAATTAAAACCTATGCGTCTACTTGCTCACTTCTTTTTAAGGTCTAGAATGAGGTCCACCGGGACCCAAATACTTGTCAGCCCACAACTTCTAAAGTTTATTTCATAAACTGTTGTCAATATGTTTATTTGTACATAGATAGGGATTTAGGAGCCAGGAGTAGGTATGCTCCGTGAGCCCCCCTGCACTATTCAATAAGATCATGTAATTGTAATTTAAATCTACATTTCTGCCTACCACAAATAGCCT